CACGACACACAAATATTCTGCAAGCCCCCGGCCCCATTTAGCTTCTCCACCTCAAGCTCCCCGCCCCATTTCAGCACCAGCCCCTCAAAGCCGGCAGGCCAGCCCTGAGGGTTCCCAGACTGACGGACCCTGGCTGAGCTCCAGCCTTTCCCTCCTTCTCTGCTGCCCCCCCTCCCCAAGCTTTAACCCCTCACCCCACAGGGCCCAGCCTCTCGTCTTTCCTGCTGCAAACTTTGTCAGGAACCTTTTCAGGCTGTTTTCCTCTACACAACCAACCCTTAAGAAATCATGCATAAAGATTTCCCTCTACAGGTGGTTGTGAGCTGTAGCAGGTTTTGCTCTTGCAATGGAAACATTTATTTTAAATTTCATTTTGCCCACGAATAAGGTTTTAAACAAAAATGATTTTGCTTACACCCGCTAAAGACTTAGTATTTTCTCCAAATAGTGGGGAGAAAATTAAGTTCTCTATGCAAGACGTGGTACCACTCCCATCACCACCACCATACCCTGCTTCTTTATCTCCCCCCCCTCCCCACTTTGCTCTGACTTCAGGGAGCCTTTTTGGAACTAAATTTTCATGTGCAAAATAATTCCAAGAATTAAGACACTCAGTGAATGAGAATCAATCCAAGATACGGCCAAGTGGCAGAAGCCCATGTCCACTACAGAATACCCCTCCACCCTCCACCCCAAACCACAGAACACTAGGGTGGGGGGAGCCAAGACGGCGTCCCCTCCCCAGCTTAACAGCACAGGATGGTCTTCAGCTGGCATGCCTCCTGCAAAAACCACACACACAAGACCCCAGGAAAGCCTGCCCAAGAAGTCTAGGCAATTTGTACAGAGATAATTGTTCAGTGAAAAAGACAGTAATCATGGCCAGTCATACAAATCTACTCCAAACATTCACCAACTGACATCATAAACTTTGCAAAAGCCAAACACAAGACAGTGCATGGTATAACCTACCTTGGCGAGCTCCTTCACTTTTTGTGCAAATGTTTTCCCTTCCGCATGCTTTACATAGATTTCTAGGGAAATTTGGAAGGACTGGTGAGGGGGTGGGGGGAGGTGAGGGAATGAGGGTAATATAAATAAGGAAGCATTTTAAATGCACCACGCAAAAAGCTCGGGATTTCACGTTGTGTGTCTCTGCACTCTTCCCGGAGCAAAGCAAAACAGTTCGCGTTCAGTGCCAGACTTGGAGGGAGAGGGAGAAGAGAGAGGGTGGGGGAGTGAGGGAGGGGGTGAGAGGGAGGAAAGAGAGGGAGGGGGAGAGAGAAAAAGAGGGTGGGGGGATGCTGAAGGAGAGAGCGAGAAGAAGAGAAAGAAAGAGGAAATGAGAGAGGGAGAGGAGAGGGGAGGTAAGGGGAGAGGGAGGGAAGGAGGGAGGGAGGGAGATGAAAGGAGGGGGAGAGCCAAAGGGAAGGAGGAGAGAGAGGAGGCAGCCCCCTCCCACGCTCCCACCCCCACACATTCAGGCACCTTCTGAGTAACTGATCAGAGCAAAGAACTCATCACCCACGTTTGAAAACCCCGTTTGGGACTAAGTCCCGATGCACACACACTCGGGTCTATTTATAGACAGACCCTAATGATATGTATTGCATTCTGAACGTAAATGTGTGTGTGTGCGGATTACATACGGTTCCTTTGACAGGTATGATTTTTTTTTTTTTTTTTTGCACTGCAGTGCGTCTGATTATATCTGTTTGGATTTTCTTCTTTCATTTTTCGCATCTAGAAAACATGCATCAATTTCGAAGGTGTTCGGGAAAAATGGTGGGGGTCTCAATGCTTACAAAACCCTGGCTTTTTTTCCCCCTGCAAAGCTGGGATATTTGCAGAGTTGAGGCTGTTTGAAAAGGCTCCAGCCCTGGCTCAGTGTAGCACGCCCAGTTCCAGCAGTGTGTGCTATTGACCTGCATTGACGTCAGTGCGTCATTAGGTCTCCCTTAGAAACACTGACTTTCAAAAATAGTATCAAATTAATTCAGTTGGAGCCTGGTGAAGAAAGGATACTAGCTGGAATCAGCCATAAAACTCCAGAATTTTCAGCCCTAGATCTCTTCTTCTTTTTCTAGGAGCCAAATAGAAATCAGATTGTATGGAAAATGCCATTGATGGGATTTTTTTTTTCCTTAAGAAAAGAGACCAAATTAGATTGCAAAACCCAGAACTGCCTCTGTTTTTTTTTCTTTCCTCTCTTTTTTCTGATCTAAAAATAACCCCCTGCTTGAGCTGACTGCGGTATCTTTTGTGTTGCAGCTCTCTGTTTTTAGCAGAATGGTCCCAGGGAAGGGTGGAACACAAGTACAGATATTGATCTATTGATATTTGCAAAGCCAGAAATTAATTTTAATGAAACAGGTGGGCCCCATTGTGGTGGTGGGTAATAAAAAAGAGAGGGTGCCATGGGTTCCATTTATGCCATTCACACATTCCGTTTCATTTTTTCCAATTCATGTTTTAAATACATAATCCCCCCCCCCACCCGCCGTGTGTCTCACGTGGCCTCTGACCAGCACATGCAACCCCCATTCATACAAACACGAAGCACTGGTACATTCACACTCAGCGGAGACAGTACATTCATAAGCAAGGGTTCTGGGATATTCCTTCCTTCTCGTAGCTGCTTGGCAGGAAAGGCACAGCAGCCCACCAAAATAGGCTTAGGTTTCGTCTGGGGGACTTAAGTATGCAATCTGATAAGATATTGTATTATTGAAATCTGCATTTATTTAAACATCTGCTTTTTATGGGGTGAGGGGGGACAACTGCTCCCTTCATTTAGCTAACAATCCAGTTTTCATTGGTCCATTTCACAATGATACATTTTTATATATACCTATGTATTACATATGTGAATACGGAGTGCCTCCCCATGGAAGCAAAGTGGGTGAAAGATGCCACTTTCAAAGTATTTGTTGGGAGCGGGATGGGGGGGTGTTGGGGAATGTTGGATTTTTCTGTTTTCAGAGGAGGTAGTTCACAATAGTTTTGTAAAGTCTTCATTTCCCACGTTTCCTGCTTCTCAGTCCTCCCTCCCTGACTTGCCCTCCTCAGATATGTTCACTTGGGCCTCAGGATGATAGAAGAATTTGGTTCCTCTGACCCATTTAGTCTTTGGCCTCTGCTGAGACTGTTAATGAGGGGACTAATTGGGGCCATCGTGTATAGGGGCCTTCACAGAGGCCACTTGGATGACAAAGGCTGTGGGGGACCTTCAGTGGGGGAGAAGAGGATCCCAAAATAGACTTAAATCATATGATTTAAAATTAAGT